ATGATATAGAATGGGCGTTTAAACATTATTCGATCCATGAAAGAAATTTAGAAACAACAGCATGAAGAATCGAGTTCACTTTCTTAGCTTCATCTCATCTTTTTTGCTTTCATCCAAACGCTATGTCGAATGTTTTATAGCCATAGTTATAAAACCCGATGACTTGATAGCCTGTCAATCTAAAGCCTAGCTCGGGTTTCATTGAGAACTGGATTTTTTTTTAAACATGACGTCATTTTAATGGAAAACAATAAGGTTAACTTCGTCACCTCCCGGTCTCTGTCTTGCAACTATGGAAATAGCGATGGGGAGCCGAGATCAAACCAATTGTGGAAGAACACTTTGTAGATCCATTAATCTGCCCTTCCCCCCTCCCCACAAAATTTTCAGGTAAACAGACGGCAAATGCAGCGAGACTTTCCTCGCCCACTCGCTCACTCCTCTCGACCACGGGTTGCAAATCATTAAAACAACACTACTGTCTGTCCCCGTAGATTTCATACTTTTTTACTGAAATAGGCATCTGCCAAACGTCCAATACAAGAGCAGACGCTCTACATTACATGCTCAATCAAACTTCTTACTTGGTTTGCTATGAATCAGTTCTCCCTCGACCATATAAAGCTTCCTCCTGCTCTGCCTTTAACTGCGCCTCCCTCTTCTGCTTGCGTCTGGCACCCCTAGAGGCAGAATCAGCATGGACTTTCTCCATTATGGTATCAATACCGGGTATCGTGCGCTGTAGTTTGTTGTAAACCCGGGTACTAAGAGTGTAGAAAATCTGAAGTATTCTCTGCAAGCATAATAAGTGAATGAAGGCATAAGAATTATGACAGAGACAGGGTAGTAGAAGAGGACCTAACAAGAATTATAATTAACATGCAAAGACTGCACGGTGAAAACCTTTATAGTCATTTCAGTTTCATCAGTCAATATTGTCTTCCAGTATTATTTTATTTTCACCATATTAGTTTATCCAGTTGGAAGGCCAACCTCCAGCAAAGAAAAAAAAAAACTTGAAATGAAAACTAGAAGAAAGACAAAAAACCATACCTTAACATCCTTGTTCCAATGTCTGATGTATGGAGGCCCTGTTGTGTATGAGCCAAGAGGTTCCCGATACCACTGTCCACCATATGTTATTTGATCCATCGCTTGCTCAATGCTTAGAACCTCCCATGGCCTTAAGCCAGGGATAATTTTCGCCAATTGAAGCCTGAAGCACAAAAGCAAACAAAGCTGAGATGATTGAGACAGACACTCCAGGCATTATATAGTCTCAGACTAAATAAAGACATATAGATAAGTATTTCATTTCAATGAACAGTTTATGATGCCAAGTGGCAAAAGATGAAGCTCCTAACTTTTCCAGCAAAAGGGATATAACGGTGAATTAAGAAAATGTACAATTTTAACTAACATTGACGGAAAAGGTTAATGGGGATATGAGAACTTCATTGACTAGCTCAAATTCAGAAAGAACTACCAAGCCTGTAAATGGACCCATCACCAATAAGGGTGCATACTTGCACAACCTATTGCGCATTTACATCTTTAGCTAGGCAGACAGGGCCCTATGTGGCCCCCAAGTTACCATGCAACTTAATAAGCAATTTAGACCTTGAATGACAATGGGGATGTAAATTCAAGACATTAATTTGCTTATATCAAATGTTGATGTTGTAGCATTCATACTCATTTTCATACTGCCCTACAGTGTTTTATAATTAGCACAAATCACAAGTTACAAGCTTGCGTGTAAAATATTTGAGAAGCGTCCACACATCCTTGCTCTTAAATTTAAAAAGAGCAATTCCATCTTCAAGCAAAAAATGCAAGTGCAATAGTACCTGAGATCTTTTGGAATGAATATGTTTGGCATATGGTCCTGTTCCAAAATATTTGTCAATTCAGGGCCACTAGCCCAAAGAAAAAGAGCATGGCTGGGAATTCTAACTCCTGGCCAAATGCCACCATTAGCTTCCAAAACAGCTAAGTCACGTCTCTTGCTTTCTACAGCTTCTTGCTGCATCTGCTTATAGGTTTTCTGTTCACGTCCCTTCAAAGGAACCCATGGAGGCATCCCTTTCTGTAATTTGTGAAGGAAAGCCGTTGCCGCAGCACCAAGTCTGACTGAGATAACCAAAACATACTCTAAGAGCTAATTCATTTGAAATGCGGAGGAAAAGTATTGCTTACAAGATCAAAGATAAAAGGCAATGACAAAATAAATCATCAGGCGAATAATGTGTACAAAGATATCTTCAGTTTTTGATGACATTGTGCATAAAGTAATAGTTAGTAGCCATTTTCAATTGCCATGTTCCAACTAGTTAAAATTACACAGAAAGAGCTTCATTCCACCCTCGAAAATTTATCTCCTCAAATTTCCACGGAATAGAAGGAAGCTGTTCTCTAACTCCCTATACTTTTGCACTCTAAGTTTGTATCTTCAACACAGAACTCATTGATATTGTCAAAGTAAAATACCATCACATAACACCAAGAAAGTTTTGACAGATATCTTGAAATTCCATCATACATTGAGCA